TCAGGAACGAGTCCTCTCCATCCACAATAGCTGTTGGATTATACACACGGGAGTTTTTACATTAACTTGATATGGACTACTCTTTCTAAGAAGCTTTAGGACATAATTTCGGAGAACTATCCCCACTCTCTGTGTCACTATTGCTTTAATAGGGGTTGTTCCAGTGGAAATCTTCAGTAATATCAATTTATTTGTGTTAGATTAATGAAGCCGCATGTCTGAACCAGACAAAATGTAACTTGGCAGGTAAATGTACAAGTGGTCAATATAAATTACTCTGCTAGCTGTGGCTGTCAGTCCTGCATTGATGGGTTTACCTGCACCACTAATGTGTGTTTATGTGTGTGCAAAGGAACCACCTTTCTAGCAGAATATATATTTTTTTATGTTGTTACTGAATCATATTCACTTTTAGTTGCAATTGTGAAATGGATAATAGCCACTAATTATAAAGTGTTGAGAAGAATATTATTCCTCAAGCCCATACTGTATGACTGAGCCTTATGTACTGTTGCACCATTACTAATTGAGTCAAGTATATGATGTTTAAAGACAGCAGCTATGTTGCATGCTGCAAATGTCACACCCAGCTGTTCTAAAACAAATTTGAAGGCTTTGAGGTGAGTTGGCTGAGTGCAGAGAAGGTGCAGGTGGTGAGTCCCTTTTCCAGGACTGGTTACAGATATGTGTCATTACTTACAGCAAACTCAGTTGCCTGTTTGTTACCGTAGGTTGAATACAGCCTAATAACCCAGTCCAGCATTATGAATGAGCAAACTGAAGCGAAACGAGCCTTCACAAGGCTGGCCTACAGCAAGTTCCATCATGTCCCGCTGTATTTGGAGTGGGCACCTGTCAGAGTGTTTGTGACAGCCAAACCAGAGCCAGTATTAGACAAAGAGGAAGTGAAAGAGTAAAGGTTTCCTAGCCAAAAAGCGCATCTGCATGAAATATAAACATGTTTTTTCCTCCACTTTTGAAACAATGAGGTTTACCATTCTGCTGTCACTTTTTATAGAAAGAACATAACGTACTTTTCATTAGGTTATCAGGTGCTAGTAGGCAGTAAACACTAGTCAAGTGTTTGTCTTTCCTAATAGGGACACCATACTAAAGAAAACATCACTCTGCACATTAAAAATACTGGGAATCACACGGAAGTACTTTGCACACTAACACTACACAGTAAAAGCATTGGGGAATCATCACCTCATTCAAATCAATTCCAGGGACAGGGGTATAACACTCAGGAATGGGTCTTGTTAAGTTAACTGGCTGAATTAGAGTAGGTGCTGGGAACTTCTCATGAGGTGTTCAATCTTCTCTAGTCTTTTAATTATTTAAATAATTAGCAAATGTACACTCACTTTTTACACTTCCTTTACACATTAATACATTTTTAAGACAAAGTCAAACCCTGTACAGCCTGCACACAGATCAAAATGTAATTGTAAGTTTAATGAATCACTTTCAGTTTTTGTGGAAACTCTTTAGAGAGGTTTTGAACCAACTTGAGAGTAATTTTGAAGGCTGCCACGCAATTAGTGTATAGAAAGTTTTAGGCACTTTGAAAAAATAGTAGCAGTAGATTGATGTATGTATTTATTTATTTGAAGTTCCTTTGTCTTTTTTCCACTGAGCGCACAATTGTTGAAAGATGAGTTTCTGCCAAAGGGTTACATTACACTTTCAACAATCTGCATAAGTGAAATAAAAGACTTTTTTAGAACTCCAGCTCATCTGTATTCTGAAGTTGTAGTATTCTAACTACTGTCAACTAGGACTTCATTTCAAACTGGACACACTTTTGCCCAGAAATTGCACCACTACAGCTTTTCATTGTGAGGTTTGTTAATGTTCACAGCCATTATTGTGTCCCTAAATTTGGCTTTGTGGTATCATGACCAACATCAGCATTATTATCCCTCATTGGCAAATTATCATTAAATTAAATATAGGTTAAAAATTATTTACCAAATATCCATAGACTCATTAGATAGATGAACATTTATCATAGGGAAATGTTGCACACCACAGCAATGTTAAAACAAATGTTACTGGACATCTGAACTTACTGGTACAACATAGTTACCAAGCTAACAGGCCAGTTTGTATTAGTGCAGCATTCTGTTCAGAAAGACCTTTGAAACAAAACTAAATTCTAAAAATATGAAGACCCGTGAAATTTCTACTGCAAAGTACCTTATGCAAAGAGCTAGTATTTTGTGGTTCAGCACGCTCAGTCATGTTGAACTACAGTCACCAAAATCCAGTAAAACTTGGAGCAAATTTCATCTTTTAATTTTAAAACTGATAGGATGATGGAAGGAGTGACTGAACTTTTGTCAAGAGTAGCCTAAACCTAATTCTGTATTTTGTGAATTACCATTTGATCACTCTAGCAACTTAGGTGTGATTCCATCTGGACAGCTGAGACCTCTGTTAAGCTGTATTCAGCGTTCAGAGACTGAACAGGTGAAGGCCACCTTGTTAGAGAGCTCTCTGAGCTGCCAGATGGATTTGTCATGTCATATGGTGTGTTGCCAGGTATGTTTCTCCTGTCTTAACTTTCCCATTTCACCGCTGCCTAATCATCCTTAATTGGCTTTAATTAACATCTAGTAATTAATTTTGTGTTCTATCGTTTATTTTTGTGAATGGGCCCAGTGGGTGGCCTTATTCAACTTGTTAGGGCCAATTAGCTGCAATTAACAAACACTAATGACATGCTTTTTTCATCCCAAACAAACAGTGAGCACCCTGCCAGATTCCAGTGCTGCACTGAGACCTCTTGTGTGTTGTAGTGGTGCTGGGGGCCAGCTCAGTGGGCCGAGCTTCTAATCAACACCTCTCATTGAGAAACACAAACCCAGAAGGAGACGCTTATCCACACAACTCACACTCAGTATGCCACAGAGCTAATTACTGTCCCCTCTGTTGATTTTTTTCATTGTCGCCCACTGACATCTGAGATCAGATTTACATGCATTAGAAGTATTTAGTACTGACTCAAATTCTTTTTGGTAATCTCTTCTGAGGACTGTACTGAGAGCATTGCATTTCTTGTTGCAAACACTGTTTCTTCTGGTTTACTGCTGGGGTTTACCCCCATCATAACACTTTCCTCATGACAGCTGCAGTTTGTCTCCCTCCAGTTTAGTGGCAAATCAGGGGAAGGGCTAACAACTGCAGGCATGTCCATCTTTCTGAATAGATACAGCAGTTAGAAAATACAACCAAGCCAGCGGATTACTCCGTCTCACATGTGAGAAGACACTGGCATCAGGATTTATTCTTCTTTATTCAGTGTGACTGTAAATCTTCCTTGCAGTGATTTGTTGTTTATACTGTAGCTCACATACTGTAAGCAGTAGTTTTACTGGATGTGAATGACAGGTTTAAAGGCATACATGCAACCTCTTAATTACTGTGTATTTAAAATATCAGTTGCCAGCTTCTACCACAACCTGGCAATTGTGACGGACAGTAAAAAAAATGTCTAATTTAAGATTAAATTGTTCCTCAGAAGATTCAAAACTGGAACAAAGTAGTGGTGCATTTTCAAAAAATATTTTAGAACATATAAGGCCAGGAACTGGTAATTATGATCGTACACAGTAAAATGAGAACAATTAATGAAATGTGTATGGTTTGGAGGTAGCCTATAAAACATGTATACTTGTGACTTTCAAGTTAGATTTAAGGGGACTAATATCATTATTTATGCTTCCATCCAAAAGGCAAGTTAACTGTGGCTATTTCTCTGACATTCATATTCTGTAACAAATTTTAGAGAATTAGAAAAATATTTAGGAGGTTCAGTGAGTCAGTAACCTGATATTCTTTTACATATTTTTGTTTATTTGACTGATTGATTAATTTATTCATTTTAAGCAAGTGTTCTATTTTGTGTTTGATAAAAAAAAAAATGAAGCAAATAAAAATAAAACTAAATAGAAAATAGAGACTCGCGGAAATCAGCTGTCTGGTGAAAAAATGACAGTGTGGTCAAATGATTAGTGAAAGTTCTTACCAGACGATTTGCTCATAATTTAGCATTGATAATCCATTCTAGTCTGCAGAAAGACACCTTTTATCAAGAATTCTTTTCGAGCTCCTTCACTCAAGTTTAATCTCAGCATGTCAGGAGCTGAGATCCTCCCGGGTGTTATGTCAGAGTTGCAAGCCTGGATGGGAAACGCGTTATCTCCGTCTCCAGCGCACCAACAAGGCGCGATAACGTCTTCAAGAGACAGTCTATCGCCAGAGATTATAGCCATTAGTGATCCTTGTCCTTTCAAACGAAATGAATCATCTGCCCTCGTCCACACAGTGCAGGGACAGGCCTGCTGATAATGTGTCACCTGCCCCTGGTGTAGTCGTGTTCTTCCGCACAAGCCTGCATTTTCCTAAGGAAATCGTTTATTCATATTTATTGACCCTCAGCAGGTTGTTCTTGAAAAAGATAGTGGTGGATCCTGCAAATAAACCCCATACGGTGGAGAAAACGTTATTGGTATGGGGTGGGGCGGGTTTTTTTTTTTATTTATTTAAAATAGTCCCATAGTATATCACTGACTGCCAGTATCAGTAACATCAGTAATAAGAAAGTTCGAAAGAAGCGCCTGAGATTTTCTGGGTCTTTGCATTTAGTTTTCCTGTTTGATTAAAATCTGGTCATCTTACTGGTGTAAGCATTAATTTCATGTGTTGATTTTGTTTTTAACACACCTTCCGTGAGGAAAATATTTCTTTTGAATGAAATGAAGGTTGGAAGCCACACACAGCTTTGCACCACGACACTATTTTGACCTGTTACTTTATTCCATATTATTTTGCTGAAGTACACGATGCGGACTGAAGTAAAAAGGCTGCTCATAGGGTTTTCGAGGAGCTGACGTCACAGGTTTCTTAATACCCAATAGGCTGGGCTTTAAGGGGTGCGCTCATTACCACGGTTCTCTGAGACGGCCAGCGCATCCCAATAGAAATGGGACACCAATGATCAGACTGGGCGCACTGGTAGAATTTCATGCTCAAGCAATTTTTCTCCACTTTAGACACCACTCAGGATATATCGGACAGGCGTAAGCTGATGTTATCCGTCGCTAATGGACAGCTTGTTTGGCTTTATTTTATTTATTTACTTATTTATCTTTTCCTGTGCTTATCCATAAAATCGCACACCCACCTTGGATCATGCTTACGGGCCCACAGTGAAGTGAAATCTATCGTTTTCTTTCAGAAATGCTGTCTGGTCGTTTTTTTTTTCGATTGTTAATTTGTCGCCTGGAGCTGTTATCCAGATGTGGATTGTTGCCCCGTGGAAGAGCCACATTTAATCTCACGGATTTTGATGTAATTATTGAGATTAATTTGGATACAGTGGTTTTCCTGGATCCTACCCAAAGCCAGTGACGGCGACGTTGGAGAAAGAAACAGAGTAGAGCTCAAATAACTCTAGACAATGCTTCACTGTGCCAGCTGCGAAAAGCCTATTCTCGATAGGTTCTTGCTCAAAGTTTTGGACAGGCCGTGGCACATCAAATGTGTACAGTGCTGCGAATGCAAATGCAGTTTGACAGAGAAGTGTTTTTCACGAGAGGGGAGACTGTACTGTAAGAATGACTTCTTTAGGTAAGCATCCGGTGTGTCTTCAGTTTGGTCTTTATTTAGCGAAAGAGATCAAATGCAACACTTTTCCAATGAAATTTCCATCGAGACAATACAAAGCAGTAGCTTAGAGTTCAGGGTAAGTTGAAAAACGAGATCCCCAAACCACTATGGGCCTGGTTTTGTCTCTGTTTACACTGAGCCTTGTAGTCATGATCTGTTTTTTTAATAAGATATGAAACATGTGAGAACATCAGTTCACACAATTTTTGTGATTTGTACTCATAATATTAGCCTAAAAGTGTAGCCGACATAACATTATTATTTCATATTCTGTGCAATTAGTGTTGACTTTAGATAAGGCTATAAATGAGGGATTATTCTTTATAGTAACCTACTAAATGTGTCGGTTGATTTTGAGCATGTGCAGTTACATCTGCACCATTGGCCTGGAGTTTTTAAGTTAACATTAACGGATTCTGCTGCCTGTAATTGTACAACCACAAGAAATTAGCTAACCCTACGTCTAAAGAATCAGTCCCCGGAGATGTCTTTATATTACCTCTACGTTCAAACTGCCTCCTGACTGTTGCTCTCCCTTTTGAGCAGGAGATTTGGGACCAAGTGTGACGGTTGCGCTCAGGGGATTTTACCCAGTGATCTTGTCCGCAGAGCCAAGAGCAAAGTGTTTCACCTGAACTGTTTCACCTGTGTGATGTGTAACAAACAGCTGTCCACGGGAGAGGAGCTGTACATCCTGGACGAATTCAAATTTGTTTGTAAAGAGGACTATCAGAACAACAATGGGAAGGACACCATTCTTCTTTCTGGTGATTAGTCTATAAGTTAATACAACCACTGGAGCATTACTGGGTTTAATGTTTAGGAATGGGAAAGATGCTTTGGGGGAATTTTCTAAATCAAATTATTATTATTATTATTATTATAGTATTCAGTTAGAGCTAATCCTGTCCTAACTAAATAGTTTAATCATCCATATTGGCTAATGAGTTTTATTTTTTGTACCTTTAACGTTAAACGTATTATAGGTTAATAATATTCCTTAGATAAATTTGTTATGTCATCAATCTGCTTTCAAATTGCAGTTTGTAATAGAGTTTGCAGACTGATAGAGATTCTCAGCTCCTGTAAATATAAAGCGTCATGTGCATCTTATTCTCATGGCAGTAACAACGTGTAGCGACCCAAGTCTGTCTCCGGACCCCCAGGACCCGCAGGACGACGGGAAGGACTCGGAAACGGGACACTTATCTGATAAAGACGTGTGCAACAACGAGAATGACGAGCAGAGTGTCGTCGGGAAACGACGCGGGCCTCGGACCACCATAAAAGCCAAACAGCTGGAGACGCTGAAAGCAGCTTTCGCGGCCACACCGAAACCCACCAGACACATTAGGGAGCAGCTGTCACGGGAGACCGGACTCAACATGAGAGTCATCCAGGTAAAAGGCAGAAGAGAAAAATAAAGAAAGGGAGAAGTGACTCACTGACACACCATATGATCCCTCCAGGCAACTCGGACCCAGCTTTCAAACACATGGCCCAAGTCGGGCTCGTAAATGACGCAATAACAAAACGCCTTTTATGGAGAAGGAAAAAGTTCTAGCTTTTGGCATTTTGGACACCGCCTTGCAGACAGCACCAGAGAATTTGTCCTTAAGGCTCTGCTGATTTATTTATTTTATCTTAATCCCTACTCCCCTTGCGCTTTAAAACCCCTTAAAAGCGTGACTCACTTAGTACTGAGGTTCATGGACATTTTTAAAAAGCTCCCTTGATTAAATTTCCTCTTTCGACATCGAAATGCTTTACATTAAAACCTTAATTGTGCTTCTGTGGGCTTGGCATCAGTTCGTATCCCAAAGTCAGCTTTTTAAACGTAGCCTATATTTTCGTACTAACCAAATCCTTATTTTAGGTCCCAGCCTGCCTTTCCCCTGAACATAAAAGACAACAAAACTTCATTCTTTCATTTAATAATTTTGAAGGCGTCTGTAGTCATCAAACAAGCAATAACATATCTACTATTACTGAAAAGACGTCTTTTAGTGGCTGTACTGTTTGTCTGCTTCTCCTGCCTGCACCATCCGTGGTTGCCATCTTGTCTAACTGACCTTTTTTCTCTTTGTCCAAAAGGTTTGGTTCCAAAATCGGAGGTCTAAAGAGAGACGCATGAAGCAGCTGAGCGCCCTGAGCGCACGGAGACACCTGTTCTTCCGCAGCCCGAGGAGGATGAGAGCGCTAGGAGACAGAATGGACCCAGGAGAGCTCGGACACTTCTCTTATTATGGAGGTGAGCTCTGTTTGGGTTTGCTATTCTAAGATGATGGTCTTTTGATGAACAGGCTTGGTAGAATTAAATGTGCTTGGTCAGATTGGTGTAATGTATTATAATTAATTCAGCTCATCTTGTATTGAGTGTGTTGGTCTGACATAGGCTAATGTATGAAGAACCTAAGAACAAAAAACATTTTCAAAGCTCAGCTCTTGTCGTGTGTATTTAAATGTTTGCAGTAACCCAGTATTTTTTTTTTCTAAATAAAAACAGATTACCCTGGTGAATACTATAGCTCAGGAGGGAATTACGAGTACTTCCAAGGCCCACCACCTTCCCAGGCTCAGACTCCTGCAGACTTGGGCTTTGTGCCGTCCTCTGTCCCTGCTGGCACCCCATTAGGAGCCATAGACCACCACCACCCGGGCCACCACTGTCCCAGAGAGGTGCAGTGTTTCTCTGACACGGTATCTCACCATCCTGTGGACTCACCCAGTCCAGAGGCCATCTCCAGTGAGCTGTGTGGTCCCAGCACACCCTTCACCACTGTGTCTCTCAGTGACAACGGATACACCAACCAGCTTTCACAACCCTCCTCAGAAATGAGCGAAGGCACTGTCTGGTAATAAAGCTGAAACCCAATTACAAGGCACACTTGAATTTTGAAGGCAAATGAATGCTTTTTTATTTGATTTTAAATATATGTTAATTTTTTATTTGTTAATTTATTTGCACTTCTGTTAAGCTAATTAACTATTTATACATCTCTATATTTGTATGTAGGTATAATTGTTTATAGCCAAGGACTAGATTGTTTTAAATGATCCATGTAAATTTGACTCATTACACATTTACAATACTGGGCCACAAGCAATAAACAATTATATTTAGAGGCTGCAAATTTCTTTTGTGACTTTAAAGGATTTTCTGGTATATTGGCATAATTGTTCATGTGTGCATAACAACATGTTTTGTCACCTTTCAGTGTTTTACACATTATGAAAAACAACACCCTCCATCCATGAGTTAATGTGTCAGCTTGTACCAGTCGATAAGAGATTATGGTTGTGATGTTCAGTACATTTGACCAAGAACGTCTCTCAGGACTACGGAAGCTTTGTTTCTTTTATTTATTTATTTATTTATTTATTTATTTATTTATTTATTTAGTCAGGAATTTCTTTCATTTCTCGATTGCCAACACGTTTGCTTACAAGAGGATAACTTTATAAATCTGATAATTTTATATGTAATGGAAAATTATTTGACTTTAACGTGACATGGGTCTAACCTTACACATAGAATAATGGGCAACTGTACAGAACAGTCAACTGTTTACTTAAGGCTCCAGTGTTCAGGGGTTTTGAATTTCAGTTGTAGAAAACCTCTTGATTCAGATGGACAAACCATTCAATGCAAAGATGCCAAACTTTTGTAGTCGTTCTACTTATGTGGTCAGTCACTGTGCTAGTTTGTATTCTGTCCTCATTAAAAATAAACTAATAAACTCTTGCCAGATGAAAGTACAGCATGATTCTTGTATGCAGCAGCATTTTTAAGTGTTCAGTTTTTCTGAATCACTGAGGATGTCTGAGTGAAAACATTTGCAGCTCAAAGTTTCAGAGCATCAAGACCCACCGGTTTTGTATTTACTGATCAAATTATTGACACAGATGATCTCGTGCACTGCCTTCAGCAGCAGTGTGTAGTTGATAGACCTTCATTCCTTCAGGTCTTGAGTTGCTAAATCCAACAATATGCATGATTGTTGTAACACTGATTGCTAAATGATCACTCTCTATTAAGATCTCTATCACATTAACCACTGTGACAAGGAGATTTATGAATTTTTGTGGATTCTCTTTGAAAAGTGACTTGTTGCAGCAACAAAACTAAAGCTGAGGTTAGAACCACTAAGCAGGGAAGGAGAACACTGAAGGAACAGATCAGTGGAGCTGTTTGGGAGAAACGGAGGGTCTCAAACTATAAACTGTAGCAAAAAAAGGAGCTTCTATCAGGGTGTTTTGAAGATTTATATTGTCTTCAACATCTCATCAGTTAGTAACAAAATCCAAATTTAAGTGGAATACAAGTGCATCAGCCTCACTGTGGCTCTCGGCCCCAAGCCTATTGATTTCTACTGAAGACTTGTTAAAAAGTCTAAGTAATTTGCTTTTAAAAAGCTGGGAACTGTAGTTTTTTTTAGCAAACTTTACTTAAAAAGGAGTAAAGAGAGTATTTGTTGGGTACCATTTACAGTGGCCCATTAAGCCTTCTTTGGTGTGATAATGTGTATTTCTAGCTGAGGGAGGTGGATAAAAGTTTGAAAAAGGAACATGTCACTGAATGCAGCAGTGTGGCTCAGTGATAGGTTTTCAATAGCTTTTAAATAAAATGAAGATCTATGGCACCAAGGAATTGGCTACAAAAGCAATAGTTTATTGGTGGTTGTAATGGGATTTGATGGCAAGAAAACTATAGCTCATTAGATTTAGGATCTAGACCCTAACTTCTTCTGGAAACAAAATGTCTTTGTTATTGAAAAATAAATAGATATCACTCAGGTAAAATGTTCAGTGCCACCTGTTGGTTTAGAGGAAAGCTTGGGGCTCATCTACATTACTCTCACTAACTGGTTGTTGTTGAACACTATTTGCCAAAAACAAAGGTTATTTGTACTTCCACAGCTCTGTTTACTTTCAAATCTATATTGGCATCTACTTAAGCTCATTATGTTTAAATGTTCCCTTCTCTGTAGGAGATAATGTTACGCTGTTAATCAAACTAATCCCTGTTTATCTGAACAAAATGCACTGATTAAGAGCGAGATTTGCATGTCAAACTGGATGTCAGCAAATCAATGTAAATCTAACTGACAGTGATTATGGCGACTGTTGGAGGGACCGTGTATAAAAAAAGGCACCACATACATTTAGTTGTCCTCCGAGGTGGGAATGATTTGTGCACATAGTCGGACTATAAACGCAGTCAAACTCTTTCAAAAATGGTCTTACATTTGTATAGCGCTTTACCGTGTATTTAAGCACATTCAAAGCCTTATCGCATTATTTGCCCAGTCACCCATTCATACACCAGTGAACCACTGGGAGCAACTTGAGGTTCAGTGTCTGCTCCTCGACACTCTGACACATGGACTGGAGGAGTTGGGGATTGAACTATCAACCCTCCATTTAAGAAACAACGCACTCTACTTCCTGAGTCACAGAAATGTTGAGGCCAATAGCAAATCTTTGTAGGTCCAGGAATTGTTTTTTTTTACACATTTTAGATATTTTTTATGTTTTACGCATCATTTTAGAACTTTTATCAAACAGAAAGTGAAGACAGCTGAGTGGTCCCATGGAGTTCATAGTATAACAGCCCAACACTTGAGTTGGCTTCCACACAAAAAAAAAAGAAATTCTTATATAGAATTTGTTGATTTATTCACCACAAAAACCTTTATTGTTTGCACCCGATTGCCATGTCTAAATGTCATTTTGCTCAGTTAGTGTGACAACAAACCACCTTATTTGAAGACTTTATGATCTTTTTGTCATTCCTCCATCATGATGTAGTGTATAAAAATGTCAGCCATATTACACAGTAGAGTCCATTAGGGTAATGCACCCATAGACCCTGCAATTGAATAAAAAGAATAATGTCCTGTACCCCATTCTCCGAGGTTGTGTAGCTGCCTTATGAGCTTGAAAACCTAAAAACTATGAAAGGGAAGATTTACAGTGTGAGAAAAGTAAATCTTGACAGTTACACATTACAGTTGGTCAAATGAATTGCCTGAACAATACTATATTGTAACGTAAGATAGAAAACCTCTTTATTTTCTAATCTAAATCATATTTCAACTTAGAATTAGCCTTTTTTGTCTTTTCCTCTTTTGGGTTACTTGCACAATCTGGCCCAATTCCCTAATTTGACATTTTCTTCACTTTTTGCTCGAGGCTTGGTAGTTCACTTTCTGCATGAAAATCATTCACACATACAATTTTATAATCAATGCCCACAGTAATAGAATTCCTCTGGCCACGGGCAATTAATACAGTTTTTCCTCTTTTTTTTTCTCTGTGTGCTGATCTGGAAGCTACGAGACATTGGCTTCTCCTCATTTACATATTTATTGCATTGGACTCAAATCTGGCGAGTGATTTGTGTGGAGCCTGCCTCCTGAATTTTTAGCGGCCCATTATTATGAAAGAGAGGGAGGGGGCTGCAGCATGTCAGTGTACTTTTGATTAAAGCTGAAGAGGACAGAATCATAAGAGTTCCCCACCTACTTTCTTCTCCTGCAGAGCTTAATCTGCAAAGCCAAATTCATCCGGCAGGAATCCGGCATGTTGTAGATACTGACAAGTTGTTTTCTCACAAAAGCCAAGGCACATACGCTGGTTAAGATATTAATCAGTGTTTGTTGTTATGTTTATTGAGAGTTGAAAACAAAAAATAATTTCAGTTTAACATATTTTGAGTTTTTCTAGGCTCTTCCTGTACCTTGGAAAGCTTGGTATTATGATGATTTTGAACAGGTGACAAAGCCATCCACACCTCTAAATTGTATAAGTTGTCAGAGTTGCCACTTTAGCTCATGATACTTGATTATGGTTACAAGCACTAACACTACCAATGCACAATATCAGCTATTTATGATCTTGCTTTTGATAAAAATCTGATTGCTTTACAAAGTAGGAAAAAGCACCATGCAAATAATTTTCAGAAATATCAAGCCGTATTGATATTCCATCCCTGACTGGGTTTACACAAACAACATCACTTTGTATGTTGTAGCACTAACACTGAGACAAAGACATGGCAGAAGGTTGATGGTTCTCTCTCATTTACAATCAAGCAGGCAATGTTCAACCGTGAAAAAGCCCGGCCCTGCTAAATGTATGTATGTGTAATGGGGTAGACAGAGTGGAGGGTGGTCATGAAGATAGAAGGAGGTTCATCAGTCGAGGTACTGTATGTCTGCCAAGTCCACTCATCCTCTGCCTTGTACTTTTATGAAAGGGAGAGGAAAATGAGCGAAAGAAAGCTGATAGCAAATGAAAGTTGTCTCTTAAAGTGTCAAAACACTGTTTTTTTAAGCTTTTGCAGCATTAAGTGGGGAAAATATATTTCATCCTAAACCTGAACTGAAAGTCTTCTCCAAGCTAAAGTAATCCAAAGCTACAATGCTTACAGGCTGTTGGATACAATGCAGAAACAAAACAGTTTTTGCAGCATTAGATTACAACCCTCTTAGTAATTTTGACCCCCCCACCCCCACAAGCAAGCTGTCAATTTTATCTAAATATAGTCTTGTTCTTTCTATTCTTTACTGGCTCCACCTCCTTTCATTGCTATGACACCTTGCTGAGCTTGTTGAACTTATAAATATCTTTGTGAGCCTCATTTAAATGTTGGACACCAACTCTGTTCGATGACACAATGATTTTCCGGGTTGATTGCCTTCGTCCTTCAGAGCCAGAGGACACTGGTCACAAATCTACCCATTCCACAGGCTCTACAAGGAGCAGTAAACCAACTGTTCCACAGGGAGTTGGCTTTCCACGCTTCAGTAATATGCCTGTAATGCATGCATTTTAATATGATGCACTTCTCTAAAAGGGCCACTGCTGGGTGGTAAATGGTCTTATACGTGTATAGCACCTTTCTATGCTTTTACAGCACACTCAAAACGCTTTCACACATTATTCGGCCATTCACCCATTCGCACTCCCAAATTCACACACCGGTGACATCACAGGGAGTTCAGTGTCTTGCTCAAGGACACCTCGACACGTTGACTGGACAAGCCGGGAATCGAACCGCTAATCCTCCAGTTAGGAAATGACCCGCTCTACCTCCTGAGCCACAGCCGCTGGATATTTGCATTCAGCTAAACTCTGTTAGTCAGCAACTTTGTGCATATCATAATTCATAATGAATAGGCTGTGTAGTGTGTGTAGAAAAGATGCATGTTCTTCACGCTGTTTTCCCTCAAAACAATTAATCAATCAGCAATTTATATTGGCACACAACAGGGGGAAGACAAAAAACTTTGCAGAATATCATATTGCTGGATATACATTTGGCCATAGGGGCATG